TGATTGAATAATGGCATGTAGATGTGTTCAGGATGGGACTCTTATCAAACAAGAAGTTTGGTGTAGAATGGACAATGTGACATATTGAAAACAACTAACGAACTAACTAACTTTTCATCGTTAAAGTCTTTTGATTGCACTGAAAAAATTCAAAGTCAATCGAATTAATTCTGTAGTACAATGACTGTAAATAGCCAAAACTGTGGGACATAATGCACGTGCTTACTAATTTTCATACATATTGGTGAAACATCCCATTGCCCTATTGAGCCATTTTGCCACGCCCTCCGACATGTGTGATGCATTTCATGTGTTTTGCAGCGTGTTTAGGCCACCAAAAATACAATTAATTAATTCAAATAATACTAATGATAATAGGGGCCTTTGCAGTGGTCGCTGCTCAGACCCTTATAATCTTTAAACCTATAAAAATGAGAACTATGCAATGATATGAAATGTACTAAAGTTTTTGTTAATTAATAAAAGTTACATAATTATGTGAAAGATGGACAAATGCACAAGTCTTCAACGAACTCCACATGTGCAGAATCACACATCGTAGCTCCTGATTATTAAAACAGTATCCTTGCATTTAGTAGCATCTAAACTAGACTAAAACTTTACTGATACTAATATAGATTTATGTCAAAACACGAAGACTAAAACAAAAGCAAAATCAGACGCCAAAATGAACTGTGTCACCTAGAACATTTTCTTTCATGTAGCCTAATATTAAAGCACATTAACTGTCTATGTAATTGGGTCTTAACTGCCAGTAATTCAGCAGCAGTGGTGTCACTGGAGGCTAAATCGGTGGGTGTTTTCCTGGAGAGCTGTCATAGCCATGAAATAATCCAGAGTTCGGCCAAACGAGTGGCACCAACGGATTAACACAGGATCAGGCGGCTTTCTATAAACGAGGAGATACATGAACCCCGGTGACACTCTCGGCATTATACTCTGCTTTGTGAGGACCACAACAGCTGAAGTTAGACATGAGTGAGACATGATTAGCTGAGATTTTCCTCTATATACTTTTAAAGAAGTGTATCTTTGGTTGTGTGTGTGTGTGTGTGTGTGTGTGTGTGTGTGTGTGTGTCTTTTCGGGACAATGGGGCATTGGGGGGTAATATCCCCAGCCTTCGCTACCTCTCTTTCCTCTCCAATTTATTACCTTGGCTAGTTGATCTGATGGTGTAATAATATCTCCTGCCTCTGGCTACGGGAAATGGCCACATGCATTATTCACACATGCTAAGATGCTTATTGATGACTCCTTTATTTATATATTTCCTCAATGCCAGAGTCATTTCTCATGTTTTTAACCCCTTCGTTGTAATCCTCTATTTTGACGTGAGCCTTGTCTAATGAGTCTCACTCACTCAGATGGGCTGTTTGATGAGAATTGAGTTCAAGCTTTTAGCACGAGATATGTCATTGTGGAACTAGGGTTAAAAATATGTATAGGTGGAGCCCCATTTATTAGATCTACTTTATCTGATGTTGAAGCTCATGGCTGCTCATTTTGTCACACAAATGCTGAAAGAACATGCACAGAAAACGAAACTCCTTTGAGAAAACTAACATGGCGTTGCATCAGGGCTGTAGGGCAAGTCTAGTCTAATGTGTGTACATTCTCCAGGTATTTGATTCCTTTTCATTTGGGCAGGCATTGTAAATAGGGCATACTCGCTTTTATGTTGGTGCATGCCATAGTTCAGTGCTACTGGGTATTCAGCTGGCTTTTTCTCTGAACTCACATTTCCCCTCTGCTTCGAACTGTGGCCTCTGAAACAGCAATAGGACATCTATAGTGAGCTATGTTTCTGACCCAAAACTGGTACTTTCAGTGTGCAAGTTTGTGTGTTTTTTATTTTATTTTTTTAATGTTTGCTGTCTAGCCATTTTTTGCTTGGCTTCACCTTCCATCCCCCTACACACAGGCTGTATTATACTGGTGGGGTTTGTGTTGAGTTAACTTGAAATATGTAATATGCAATAGAGTTGGTACCATTTTTAAAACGCATTCATGGTTTGTATGCTTTCGAAGTGCATAGATTGAGTACATAAATACAGTACGGTTAGCTGGTGAGTCTCACCTAAAGTGGGTCCTTACGCACTTAGATATCAAATCTGTTTTTTGGAGTCTTTTGGAGGTTCACGTGGCTTTCCCCCAAAATAAATTGTTTTAAATTGAGTTGTGTTTCCTTGAATGTCTACAATGGAGGTAGCAAGAGCAAAAGTTACACCTTAGGCTGCAAAGTAAAATTAGCATGTTAGCAACAAGTCTGCAGCCTCCTGCGACTTGTTGAATGTAGCTGACAGTGGATATAGCAAATTTCACAATGGCACTGGCAAAGAAACTGGTTCGCACTGTTGGCTAATAACATTTGTGTTGGCCTCGGTACCGATACTGCAGATTTGATTGGTGGATCCCTTATTAAAATGGCAGCATATCTGTTCTATCAGACGCAAGTGAGAGGTAAAACCAGTAAAACTCCTGTTTAGGCGAGCCTTTAGCATGAATCACCAATATAAAAAAGTAAGACCCAGGTTGAAAAATACCAGCATTTTCCTTTAAATAAACAAGCTTAACATTCTTGAAGGAATTTGTATTTTATATGGAGGTCTACCTGCATTATTTGCATGCAGGAAACGCGACCTATCATCCTAGCAACTGGGATTTAGTGGTGCAATAGAGAGAAATTTGTAGGAGAGGTCAGGGAGTGAGTAAGAACAGGCGATGCAGAAGACTAATTTTGCCACTCCATATTTAATGTACTGGTAATGGTAGCCCTTTCTTCTGTATACTCTGTCCTGACCACATTCTTCCTGCCAGATACATTGGGCTGTCCTGGCCTCTCGTTCTTGTCCGCACACTCACACACACTGCTCAAAATATCAGCTTAGGGCTGAAAAAGTAGTTCACCACGGATGTGACCGGCCCAAATAGGAGAAGAGAGCATGACACATAAGCAATCAATGTTTGACCAAGGGAGTATTTTTACTTTATTCTTTTTCTTCCTTCCTCTCTCACTTTTTTCTGTCTTTTTGAGCCCACCCATTTCTCTTCAAACCACCAGCTTTTTTTTTTTGGCAGTATAAGTAATTGCTGCTTTATCCCTGTTAGATATCATCTTGGATGTTCAGTGCGTTTTGGATTATTTTTTGATAAATAGCTGTGAATTGCTTTTCTAGTATGGCTTACCCTCTTTCAACGTGACTCATGTTCTGTTTCAGTTTATGATTTCTTTTAGTTTCCAGAAAGTCCTGAGAGAAAAATGCCTGAATTTGTTTCATCCACTACATGTAGGTAGTAACTAGTCGGCTGATACTAATGGGCTGAAAGTTTTTCCAGTCAAGTACAGGACTTGAGGTCTATCCTTTGTCAGAGAAACACATCACATTTTATACTTAATTATACTTTTTAAAGTGTTATTTTGGTGTGTTCACGCGCTGCTGGGAAACTCTGGCATCCAATGCTACCAAACAGCAACCATTTAATGCAAGATCCTACCACTTACAGCTCTTTCACATCGTTCATCATTGTTGCTGTTTGTCTTTGTGGCTATATTTTCTAGCAAAATAGTTTATGGATGTGTTTGGCAACTGACTGTAAACTCTTAGATGTTGGTGTTTCCCACCAGGACATGAACACAAAAAGGCTCAACAGGCCACATCAGCCCAGCAGACAGAGCAGGGCGTTCGGTTTTTGACTCAAACCAAAGGCCTCTGAATACCCATATGACCTTAACTATGATATACAGTACTCAGCTCAGAAGTAAAGCGGTGTTATATTCCTAAGCCTACGTGTTTTCTTTTACTTTATGAATAACAGGGCTACTTGAGTAACACAGGGGTTACTAATAAAACAAAGTTGCCTTTAAACTTCTGTCTGGATGGTTACTTTATATAGAAATCATATCAGTGCTTTATGTCAGCATATTCATAAAAAAACATTACATCTGAGTGTGGGGGACCTGGAAGTGATGTAACCACATGTGGGATGTAGGTTTGAGGGCACTTACTGTAAGTGTAGCAGCTGTAGGAGTTTTGGGGGGCAGTCTGTTCTTTCAGCATCCTGATGTGAGCAGAGAGGTCAGAAAGTGTTTGGATGAGTGCAGGAGCATTGCAGGAATGTGTACTAAAGAAAAAAATGGAAAATATGTTCTTTCTCTGTCTCTCTCTATTTCTCTTTTTGTCTCCCTCGTGACCTCATCTAGTCCTTATCTCTCTGGTCTTACCTGGCAACCTGCCAGGTGATGCTGGAACCATCTCGCCAGCTGATTTGCTGTTTCCAATCTCACCAGGGATGGGCAGATTGATAACTTACTAGTCAATACTTTGGTACTCAAACACTTGTTCATTTGTTATTGAGTGTTCCCTTTCACCACCAGGCTATGTTGGTTTTTTTAAGAAAGGCATCAGTTGCAGATGTTCTGTGAAATGTATTATAGAGATTAAGCGTAAATAGTTTATGTTAATAGTTTTATTCTTTTATTTCCCACTTTGTTGTTTGTTATATTCCTTTTGTTTAAGTTCTTTTTGTATTATTTTTTAAATGAGTTACTACAGTGTCACTATAGGTTTAAAATCAGTCAGAAACAGCATGATGTTGTTGCATAAAATACTTTTCTTGTCCCTTTTCTTGGACAAACATACACATACACAGAATCCTTCTCACTTCCTTTATTTTTATTTCTCTGTTTCTTGATCTCTCTTCATCACTGTCTTCCTTTGAAATGAGCTGTCTGCGCCTGAATGCGCGAGCTTTACTGTTAGCGATATGGTGTTTGATTTGATTTTCCAGCTGACAGCCTGGCAGTCACTGTGAGGGCTACCGTTAGAAGATGTGCAAGAGAATGACTGGGAAACATGTTTGAGTGAAGCTGTGTATGAATGCAAATGTGTGCCTGAGTGTATTAACCTCGGCGTGTGTGTGTGTGTGTGTGAGCGCGTTAAGCCCTGCTCCACTGACACTCTTCCCTCCTTCTCCACAGAGAGAAGTGCCTTCTTTCGCTGACCCCTTTGGCTGTTTGGCTCCACTGAAACCGCTTCTGCCTCCGTGCCTGTCCATGTCTGCTGGAGTTGCCAGCCACACCAGGAGCCCCAGGACTGCCAGGACTGCCAACCCCATCCACTGACACCTCCCTCCTTCTCTCCATCTCCTGCTCTGTCTGCCAGTCAGGCCTCTCTCTCCATCCATGCCACTCAGCCCTCCTCTGTGGAAGTCAACCACTCCTTCCTCCTCTGCAGACAGACCCTGATACCGAAGACAGATAACTTTTATTGGTTCCTGTGAGCGGAAGGAGATTGTCTCTTAGCTGTCTCCACCACAGCCTTCTCCTCATCATCCTGCCCTCCTTCTGTTCCTCTTTCTTCTCCTTCCTCCTCTCCTCCAGCCCTGCATCTTTTCATCATGGGCCAACTCGATCGATAATGTGTTTTGCCGTTTGTCTCATCTGACAGTTCAGCCTAGGAGCAAGGCGATAGAGAGCGAACTGCCGTGTGTGTGTGTTTGAGGGAGAAGGGACGAGAGAGAGAGATTACAGAGCAAACCTCTGTGGCCGTCATCAGCCCAGGCCCTGGGTGACAGGCGGTGAACGATTCCTATTACAGCCACAAACAGACTCTTAGGATGGGCCGCAGGTGGTAGGCGAGTCCCAGGCCTCACAGGCTTCATCTCAGAATCAGACCCTGGTGACAAAACCTCTTAAAACTGGCTTTTTCCCATGTCCTTTAATTGTTTCTCATCATTTGTCCCAGTGTCATCAAAAACATTCAGACGCACACATAATAGCAGCTGCTGGATACCTATTCCTCTAAATCGACCCCTCCTGCCTGGTTCAAAATGGCGGTGAATGTAACACCGATCCGGGACACAAAGTGGCTGACATTGGAGGTTTGTCGGGAATTCCAGAGAGGAACGTGTTCACGACCGGACAGTGAGTGCAAGTTCGCACACCCTGCCAAGAGCTGTCAAGTGGAAAACGGCAGAGTCATTGCCTGTTTTGACTCACTGAAGGTGAGTATGACAAACACCTGTGATGTTCATTCATCACTGCCCTGTCCCTCTGTTTTGTTTCTAGCTTGAAGTGTTGACGAGCATTGTCTTCTGGATGTTTTACGTTTCATTTGGGGTTTTTTTATGGATTCCAGATCTTGATAGACATAAAGAGAAGTTGTAGTTTGTGATTTAGGTCTTGATGCAGAGGAGATCGGGGGCTTCTTTTTGGTGAACATTCTGTAGTGAGTTGCAAGGGAACAGCAGTGATTTTGCTGCAAAGTGAGATATTGTTTCTTAAGGTTAGTGTGTGTGTGTGTGTCTTGGTAAGCTGAGATGAGGCAGTAATCACATTAACATCTGTGAATAAGACTCAGAGTTTCCTTCACTGGCACATAACTTTAGCGCAGGACTGTCGGTTGGCACATTGTGAAAGTTTCTGTGTGAGCGTCACATCAACAGGCTGAATGGGAAATATAGAAGTAGGGCAGCACACTGTGTATTTCATGTTTGTATGTGAGTCTGTGAGTGTATGTCTGTGTGTTATTTTGAGGTCATACAGCACAGTGGGGTGTTCTCAGAAGGCTCTGTAATTTACTGTCTATTTTTGCCCTGGCAGTGGGACAACACACTCCCACTATGCAGTGTCTCTCTCTCTCTCTCTCTCTCTCTCTCTCTCTCTCTCTCTCAGTCACAAGGGGGGGTGTCAATCAAATGGGAGAGAAGATGGAATGAGGAAGGAAAATAAAATGGACTGAGTAGAAAATAATATAATAAGGGAATCATTACAAGACGCTGCATATCAACTGTGGCAAGAAATGTTTACCTGATGGTCAAAACAGCTGATCGGAATGTCTATAGTGTCAAGACAGTGTAAACAAAGTGCTTAAATTTAGTTTAAAAAAACTCAATAATAATTCTTAGTGACTTAGTTGACTTAGTACTTACTTACGTTTTATAATTTCTCCTACAAATTGAGTTAATATATTACTGTACAAGAATGTAGGCACTTCCTGGAGTGAACAGAACATTGCCAGTGATCATAATTTTGGCAGTAATTACGACTCCATGAAAATGCACTGAGCAAACACAGAAATGGTTGGAAGGTAGTTGGGGTGGATGATGAGTGCCAGAAGAGAAGAACTTAAATATCAGAGGCCTGGGATTGAGTCCTGAGATCCATGTGTGGCTAGATTTAAGCAACAAAAACACCTCAGTCAAGGAGGTTTGTGGTTTTAGTTGCATACCTTAAGCCACGCTAGCAGCTTGTGAAGCTGTTAGTTATGTCCGTTATAATGTTTGCCATTATCACCATCTGCGTTTTGTGCGTTGCCACCCAATTTTCCAATGAGGACTAAACACAAACTACATTTGAGGCTGATGGGAATGTCAATATTCCCGCAGGTATTTGGTCATAAAACCTGATGATTGTGCTAAATGAAAAGTTAAGTTGGGACGTGGATGTTAATTCAATAGACATTTCACTTAAAACCACAAATGGTAACTTTGTGGTGATGTTTGGGGAAAGGCCAGGGATCTCCACATTCAAAGGATTCATCCTCTAGGGGCCATGAATGTCTGTTCTAAATTTCGTTGCAAACCATCTAATAGCTGAGATATTTCAGTCTGAACAAAACATTTCCCTCTCTAGAACCATACTGCTATGGCGAGGCTGAAACAATCTTTAACATATTGTCTTTTGCTTTAAGTGGCCTTTAACTTTTCATTATAAAGTATAACCAAGACCCTTTTCCCTAACCTTAACCAACATAACGATAAAGTTAATCATGCTTTAGTTCCCATAAGCTAATATTGTAGGTAAAACAAATGAAAACATGTTGTCAGAGAATGTTTTGCAGATGATAACAAATTTAAAACAATAAAAAAAGGGCTATAAGCAACACATAATCCCTGAAGTTACAAACACACGGTACACAGTTCAGAGTTGTGGACACCCATACACTGTGAGAGCACATCTAGTGACACTTTTAATTTACGAACAGCGCTGAGAATCTGCAATGGGTCAGCTGTGGCAGCATGTGTCATGGCTGAGAGCCAAGTATAAACACAGGCCCTCTGTAATATAGTATGTTGTATATGAAGACAAGTACATGTGCATGTACATATGCAGAATACATACACAACAGATGTCACACGAACCTCACACTGTGGCATTTCTGCTTGCTGTCTCATTACTCCAGATGCTGCAAATGTGTTGGATACAGGGATATCAGTCAAGTCAATCTGGGTATTTTGGCTCAAGTTAGCACAGTGATTCTGGATCCTAGTGTTCTGTCTACCGTGTTGTGCACATGTCCTGTAATTTGTCTCCTATCTGATTGGCAAGCAGGGTGTTATTCGGTGTAACTGGAGACCATAGCTGGAAGTCAGTCAAGCCAAGTCCAGGCCACAGCTTACCTTAGTTTATAACTAGGGAGGGGAGGGTGGGGGTTTTCATTAAGCCATGCACAGTGTTATTACAGTTCTGGGCTGCTTGGTTGACGCTCTGATGGCTTGGGTGGGTTTGGCCGGTATAGGTGAGACAGGAATTGGTGAAGAGGGGCTGCTGGGGCATTGCATGGATCATGAAAACAGACTGGGAGACTGAGCCGGAGAGGGCAAGAGCAGGCGCAGCAGGGAATGTGCGGAGAAGCGTAGCACTATACTCAGAGCCCTTCCCTGCTCTCAGTGCCAGGGCATTCCACAGTCTACCTCCCTTCCCTGCCTCTATGACAGAATGATAGATCTGCTTTATCTGCAGATGAATTCATAACACACAGCTAGGCATGGAGAGATGGGCAAGGGGATAGGGAAGGACAGGCAGGAGGATGTGGAGAGGATGGATGTCGGTACACGTGGCTTCGCGCTCCTGGACAGTTTGCCATACCACCCGCCCTTCATTCCTTTTTCAAATGCAGGCCGGCAAAGGAAGGGAGGGCCTGTAGCTGGTGAAAAAGGAAGGCACATGAGTAGCCCTGTCTTTGCTTTTTCCACCTCTCTCTTTGTATTCAAATAGTCGTTCTCAGATTGATGAAACTTTTTTTTCTTTCATTCTTAAATCACAGTTTCTTGCCAGTTGCCAGGCTTGCCAGTACAGTCTGTACATGTAGATGTCTTTATTTGTTATTTAAAAAAACAAAAAAAACGTGTTTGTCAGCTGTGAATGTAGTGGAAAGTTCCATTTGATGGGTGACGTAACAGAAGATGGAGTGATAAAGGCGAATAGGAAATGAGTCAGAGGCAAAAGACTCTGTAGGATTGGCTGATATTACAGAGGGACTGACCCTCTCAGTCTGTAATCACAGCAGTGCCAAAGAAAAGTAACCCTGACAAAAATCTGAGGAAACTGCCTGCATGGGTATACAGCACAACTTCAAAATGATGACAGCACACTTAGTCTTACAGCATAATTTCTGTTTTATTTAGCATTGCTTGCTTGTTCAAATGCTATATTTGTGTTTTCCTGACAGGCAACTTTTAGCCATCTAAAGGTGTTCAGACAAAAGTCAAACCTCATTTTATTTGTGGGAGAACCTTAGCCGAGAGTTTTTGAAGGCACAGACAAAAAAACTATTTTGGACTTGTCTATAATTAGAGAAAATACAAAAACTGGGTATTTGCTTGTCCTTTTGGCTCCTGCTACAGGAATTCAGCCGCTTGTTGCTATTAGCAGCTGGAGACAAAGCTGGTTTCATTGTAAGAGTATAAAAAGCAAATCTGGGGGTATTTAGGCTGACGAAATACAATAAACTCACCATCGGGCTGTGATGGGAAACAGGTGAGAGTGAGCCAGAGAGCCATGGGAGCTCCACTACAGTATGATGGACTAGCTACTGATGACCATGAAATTGTCTCAGTGGGTTGAATTTCCATGTAATTTCTTCTCATTAAGACGTTCATCCTTTCTATTGACATTCGAATGCTTTTTCTCTGGTGGGAAATCTTGCCATTATCGGAATCCACTGTAACCGTTCAAAGCAGCTGTTCTCAATGAAAGAATAAATATTAAAAATGTAATACTAACAAGATTTTGACTGGACTATTGGGTGGGGGTGGTAAAGTGTTAAAATGGTCATTTGTTAATTAGAATATATCAAATCAGGAATGCATAGGAAGATATTTGATATAAGTTTCAGGGAGTGGTTGTTCTAATCACAACAACAACAACAATTTTTATTTCTGTGCTGATTATTATATTTTAGCCTTCAATATAGATTGTTACTGGGTGTTAACATGCAGTCTAACAAAGCCACTCAGGATTTGCCAATTTACTTTTTTTGCTTGTTTCAAAGAAAACAACATTAAATTAAAAACTTCAAAGTGGTCATGGATATAAATGTTCTGTGACTATAAATACTGTGAATGCTTTTTCTCTCTCACTCTCCTCTTTTTGTCTGTTGGAGAAGGGAAATTTAAAAGGAAATTAAAAAATAAGTTTACATTTAAAAAATGTTGCATGGTTTTGACTATTTATTTGAATTTTTCACATGAAAGAAAAATTCAACCCGTGTCCTCCAACCGATATTCAGGAACATGTTCTGCCTAAATTAGCACAATGTTTTACAATGCAAATACAAAGTGATAACAAAAAAGTTCCCACTACTACTAGACTTTGATGTTTGATATTCAACATTTTGTAGAAGGGATTTGTAATGTGGGTGGTGTATCTTTTATTATTTACTATTGAACAAAGCCTTACCCAAACTTTAACCTCCTCCTTATTCTTTTTAGTAGTTTTTGCTGCTTACAACTCTAATGTTGAGATAACTTACCCTGTAAGTCATTATACTGTAATTTAACTTGTGTTGTCGTTCACAGCGGAGGAATGTAATATTCCCACAATCTCTCTCCCACAGCGTATTCTGTAATGTTCATTGAATTTATGAGTTACTTAGTGCCTGGACTCCACATGATCATCTGATGTATGATAGTTATACAAAATCCCAGGATAATTTAATGTTGGAATTCACAATCACAGAAAATACTCACACGCATTCATCTTGTTGAAGTTAAAGAAATGA